TTCTCCACATTATTTATTGTCCAGCCTCATTATTGTCTTTTTTATGTTAGCCATTCTTGTAGATATGAAGTGGTATCTCATTGTGGTTTTATTGTCTATCTTTCTTACTGATTTGCAGTATTCTAAATTTTTCCTTTGTTGAAAGTGTATTTTCTACTTAATTATCTTTTGACTAGCAGAAGTTTGTAGTTTTAGTATAATTTAGCTTATCAATTTTTTTAGTTTATAGTTAGTAGTTTTTTGTGTCCCATTTAAGAAGGCTTCATACTTGAAGATCTCAAAGATATTCTGTGTTTTTCTCTAAAAGCGTTTTTGTTTTACCTTTGATCTTTAGATCCATCATCCATCCAGAATTGATTTTTGAGAAACAACATTTAAAAAATTATTTCTCTTCCCTTCCTAGCAGGCTTTTTGTGTTTTTTAATGGGTGAGAGATAATTAATACATGGTTAGAAAAGTAATGTAGTGTCCAGGATTAGTTGGTTATAAAGATTTGCCCTCAGGTGGTGACTAAAAAGTTAAAAAGAATAGCTTCAGATTTCTAGGACTCCTGTCATATGTCAGAGACTTAGCTAAGCATTTCATAAACTTACACTCATTCAGTCACTACAATATTCTTGTAAAGTAGATGACATTATCCCCTACTTGCAGATGAGAAAACTGAAGCCCATAAAGATAAACTTTCCTCAGCTTACGCTACTAAAAAGTAGGCAAAACCATGCCTCAAAACCAAGTCAGTCTACCTCTATTATCTTTTCACTGTACATTTTTCCCCCAGAATATATATTTTTATTGATTTCAAAGAGGAAGGAAAAAGGAGAGAGAAACATCAATGATGAGAGAGAATCATTGATTGGCTGCCTCCTGCACTCCCCCTACTGGGAATCGAGCCCCCAACCCAGGCATGTGCCCTTGACCAGAACTGAACCTGGGACCCTTTAGTACGCAAGCTGACACTCTATCCACTGAGCCAAACCAGCCAGGACTCACGGTACATTTTTTAAAATCTTGCAAAATCTTAATTATTTAAATTTAACCTCTTCATCTTAAATTTGTGATGTTTGGCCCAATAATAAGTGCTAAGTAGCCTGCATAACCGTGTGTGTTTATGTATGTGTACATATTTAATTAAGATGGTTTGAAGGAAACACGATAAATAATCAGATCTCATAGGGGACAAAATGTATTGAAGTGGGAATCTGTGTTTGAGAGATTAGATGGCTAAGTGATTCTTATCAATGAATAATATTGCCAGAGAAATTTACCTGTGTGGATGTTTCATTTGCTGTGTTGTAGATCTTACTTTCCATGCTATGAAAAGTAGGAAATTTCCTTTGTGTATTAGGGTCAAGAGAGCATTTCCTAGGGCTCCCTCTGCTGGCTTCTTAGCAGTAATTAAGATACCTAAATACTAGAATTGTGCTGGTACTAATGATATAAATAAATTTAGGAAAGAAATTAATTTCAAGGTCCATTAGAAACAGAGAGGAGATTGATGTTTGTAGCAAATGAAAATGAAAAAATAGAGCTAGAGAAATATTATTTATTTTAGAATTCAAAATTAGTTATTGAATCTTTTTTGAGTTATGGGGAATAATACCCCTACTGGTATTGAAGACTTTGCATTTCAAACAAATGGTAGTAAAACTTTATACTTGAAAGGTGGCATGATAAGATTCTGTATGTGAGACCAACTTTCTCAGTTGGTGATGACATTACAAAAAGCATTGTCTTTAGCCTTTTTTAACTAAAAGGTAAACTTTTGTCAGCCTCAGTGGAGAAGTGTGAAATTGATCAGTGGACATGTTAGTTTCTAGATAAAATAGAATTATTAGATAATGGGCCCTATTAAATGAGAAACTTCACTCTGAGGAGCTTCTGCGGCAGTGGTTCTCAACCTTGGCTGCACATTCTCATTTCTTTTAACAAAGAAACAGAATTCCCGGAGGATGAGGCCCAGAAATCAGGATTTTAAAAAGATTCCCAGGTGATTCTAATGTGCAGCCAAGGTTGAGAACCACTGTTCTAGGGCTTAATGCTAATTATCTTCACACCTGAAGCATTTTGCACCTAATTGATAAGATCCTAATAAACAGGCATTTCACACGTGGCAGATCTTTGACTCTTTTTTTCCCAGCCAGCTGTGACTTGACTTCACTTTTCTTTGCCTCATAGGTCCAAGCTGCCACCATTTTCCTTTGCAGAGTTGCCATTTGAGGAGAAATCTATCTGCCATTTTGGGTTCTAGACAGTTTGCTTGCTTGACAATACAGGGTGGGACAAAGGGTTAACAGTTGTTCATATAGAAAGTTATACAATCCTCCTATATAATAAAAGGTTAACATGCAAATCGACCGAACAGTGGAACGACCGGTTGCTATGACACGCACTGACCATCAGGGGGCAAACGCTCAATGCAGGAGCTGCCCCCTGGTGGTAAGTGTGCTCCCACAGGGGGAGCGCCACTCAGCCAGAAGCTGGGCTCACAGCTGGTGAATACACCAGCGGTGGCGGGAGCCTTTCCCGCCTCCACTGCAGGCAGGCGAAGGGGACCCCCACCCCCCAGTGCATGAATTTTGTGCTCCAGGCCTCTACTAATTGATTAATAATAATATAGGAATAAACTTCATTTCATGTACTCACAACTGTAAACCTACTTTTGCCCCACCCTGTATGCAGACTATAATAGCCCCCATTTAAGAAAACTTGAGTATACAGAAACTAAACAAATACATATTGACTATTTTTATTAAAGGTAACACTTTTAAATCCCTTTGGTAATTTAACTTACTTAATTTAAAAAATGATTAAGTCTCACATTTGCAGGGTAATTTGCATAAAGCAAAATCAAACAGGTTTACTAAATTAAACATTGAAGCATCTTTATAATGGACAACTAACTATTCCTTATTGTGACAAATGGGAAAAAATTTAGTTTTACTTCTTCAGAGGCAATAATAGTATAATTTGGCTTTAAATAAAGGTAATACTAATTCAAGAAGTCAGATATTAAAGGGACATATTCTGGAAACAATCTGTGTTCAATTTTGAAAGCATTAAAATGATTTGTTACTGTGTAAATAGCTACAGATTTATGTATGGATGAATGTATGTATCTGTTATTTGCTTTGCCTCAGAATTGACTATTAAAACTCTTTAGACGGTTAGAGAAAATCAGCCTACAAATATCAATTCAAACTTTGTTTTCACAGGATAGATTTGATAGTATTTAATAACATCAAAGCAGAATAACAATTCCTTAAAACATTATGAAAATACTAGAGGCTCAGTGCATGAAAATTCATGCACTGGAGGGGGGGATGTCCCTCAGGCGGCCTGCCCCTTCTCACAGTTCGGGAGCCCTCAGGGGCGGGAGGCGACCCTGCGATCAGGGGAAGGCGACGCCCCATCACACCTCTGCTGCTGCCACTGCCAGCAGTGCAAGCCTCGACTGGCCCTGGTTACCTGCGCCTCAGACCAGCCCTGGGCGGCTAAATAGCCGCCATCTGAGACTTGCCTGTGCCTCAGGCCAGCCCTGGGCGTCTGGGAGGCTGAGAGGACTGGGGGACTCTGGAGGCAGGCGCCCTGGTGGGGCTGAGGGGACTGGGCGCCGCCATCTTTGCAACGGCATAAGGGTAAATTAGCATATTCCCTCTTTATTAGATAGGATTATAGAGAGATGCAAAGTGGGTTATATTAACTTTTTTGCTTGTCATATTACTAATACTACCAGCTACTAATTTTATTATTTCAATTTCAGAAAATTTAATAGGTAATTTTAATCCATTTCAAAGTTGGGTGCTAAACAGTTGAGTTGTTGAGAAGCTAAATAGTCCTACTCTTTCACTTAAAGTCCTCTATAAATTTGGCTGCACTCTTTCCAGCAGCCTCCTTATTGGATTAATAGTTGTAAAATGTACTTTTGAGTTTCACCTCTACCATTAGCCAGCTATGGCCTGTAGACAAGCAACAAAATGGTTTTTTTCACCTGTAAAATAAATGAATTGCCCAAAATTCTTTTAAGTGCTTTCAACACTTTATTTGTGTCATGGAGAAATCCTTTGAGAATCTGATGAAAACTGCTGATTCATAGAAAATGTAGCATATCATTTCAGTAGTGGCAGTGTTCCCTGACACCACCCACAGACCTTTTCTTGTATTAAAGGACTTCTGATTTTCAAAACCTATAATTCTGTATTTCTATCCCACACCACCCTGTTGTCTAGCTATACTATGTTATCATCCTCATTTTTCAGACTCCTTTAGGGTTTTTACTCATATCATTTCTTCAACTTTCAGATGTCCTTATCCCCTTGTTCATTTTCACCTTTGAAAGTTCTACCTCCTTTTTAAAGTACAGTTCAAGTTTGTGTGTGTGTGTGTGTGTGTGTGTGTGTGTGTGTGAAGTTTCTTCAATTAGAATTAATCTTTCTTTTAGAGCTTTATATCTACATTTAACTCTTACTTTTTTTGGTCTTGTAGCACAGTTATTAGAGGCCTATATGTCCTCTGTCTCCCCTTTCTCTTCTTGCCTGTTTCTCCACAGATTATAAATGTTTTGACACCAGCCACTATGATCCTATATTAGTTTTAACTAGTAATTGAATTGTTCCTTGCTAGTAGTAGTTATGGAATAAATGCTCCCAAAATTAATTTGAATTTGTCACTTAGTTGTAATAAATTACTATCTGTTGTGTCATGTGCTAAATGCTCGGAGGATTGCCCCGCAACCTGCCTCCAAAAAGTAGAAAGTGGTATTAATAGAATCAGAGGGAAAGCCTCAATCAGGAGGTGAACATAAAGAATGGGTAGAATTTAGGAAGCTGCAAGGGTATTTATTTTCTGGAATAGATGAAGAGAAATGAGAGAACTAGTGTGTAGCTATAAATTTTTATTGATAAAATTAATCTAGTTTTACAGAAGAAATGGGTATTAAAAATTTTACTTACAATTTTTAATTAAGCTTTGTATTTTTCATATTGGCATTTTTGTTTTTACAGGTACAAGAAAATTCCCCAGGACATAGAGCTGGACTGGAACCATTCTTTGATTTTATTGTTTCTATTAATGGTTCAAGATTAGTAAGTTCAGCTTTTTGTACCTTCTTGTGTAGTATTTTGTATCTTTTGAAAATGGAATTTTTCAGATTATATGGGACTGGTGTTTATTCATTAGTTACAAAGTGTGTTACCAGTTTGTAAAATTAATTGTTAGTAAACGTATGAAAATGTCAAATATAAAATAATATACTTGACACTCCAGCAATTATTTTAGGGGATTAAAATCACTGGAGACTTTAAATTTTAAATATTTAAATGTTTTTATGCAGAAAAAAATAATATTAAAACATTTGCTTTTTTTAAAGATGTCAAACTTTTGTAGGTTATTGACAAATGACTCTCAATTTGTCAGTTTTCTTGTGTATATAAGTAATGTTACTAGAACCAGATAGATGTGTTCCAAAAATGCAGAATTAAAACTACTTTTTATAAGTTGCTTTCAGTTTACTTATAATAAAGCCCTGTAGGGAGGGAATTGTATAATTTCAGCAAAGGAAATTCTTATGACAGTGGCTACTTGGTTGGCTTATTTTTTTCACAGAAGTGTTGTTTTTATTACTTACCAACATCTTCTACATAATGGCCTTTATTCATTTATGTAATGAAATATTTAACATACTGCTTCCATTTTCTTTTTCCTGCCAGTTCCTATTAAATAAACTTTATATTTAGGAGTAGAATCCAAAATTAAACTTCAATGCCAGAAAACGTTTTAGATTTTAAAACCAAAGTCATACCAATCCTGTTAGTAATATGACTTCTTATGGAATATTTTTGGGGTTTTATCACTGAAGCCCTAGATCACTTCAATCCATTTTGGGTTGCAAATTCCATAATCTGTAGTTAGCTATTAGAAAAAAGTCAGAAGTTGTTGCTAACAAGAATTGTTCTTAACTTCTTAACATTCTTTTACTTGGAGGAATTTTGGGATGTTAATGAAACCTTTGCCCATAGAATGCTTTGTGTTGATTAATATTACTCCAATAGGCCATAGGATGCTTAAACTAAGATAGTTAACGTTACATTTTTATTTATTAAGAAAAATAATTTTATGTGTTCACAGAATAAAGACAATGATACTCTTAAGGATCTACTGAAAGCAAATGTTGAAAAGCCTGTAAAAATGCTTATCTACAGTAGTAAAACACTGGAGCTGCGAGAGACCTCAGTCACACCAAGTAACATGTGGGGTGGCCAGGGCTTGTTGGGAGTGAGCATTCGTTTCTGCAGCTTTGATGGGGCAAATGAAAACGTTTGGCATGTGTTGGTACGTATCACTTGTAAGCTGCTACTTGCAGTTTAAGAAGCAGTGTAGAAAGGTGTTTTATCAGTGGTGATTTCCAATTTGGTTGAGCTTGTAGGGATATTATTATTATTAGGCTATTTTAGTTCTTGAAAATCAGAATTCATTGCTGTTAAAATACAGGTTATTTTTTAAATGCATGAGATGAGGAAGAGAAGCAAATAATGATTTATCTGTTATGAGAAGAAATGTTAGAGGAGATAGCTATAGAAGTATTTTAAATATTAAAGATTATGTGACATAACAAGACAATTACAAATGTAGGGGTTTTTAATCACTATAATTAAGGACTGTGAGCTATAAAATTTGGAAGATTATTTTATGTATATTAATTTTGGGCTGTGTTTTTGTGTCACCATAGGAAGTAGAATCAAATTCTCCAGCGGCACGGGCAGGTCTTAGACCTCACAGTGATTATATCATTGGAGCAGATACTGTCATGAATGAGGTAATTAGTCTGTTTATTAAAGAAAACTATGTAACATTTTCTTATTAATGTTTAAGTTCAGAAGTATATGTGCATATTTGCAATTAGAGTTGAAATTTGGGTCTTTGCCGGTCAAGATCACTTATGCCAGGGAGTTAAACAGAACATCTGGGAGGTGTCTCATTAGTATAGCTATGGGGGAAAATGCATACTGTGTAGCAGTTGCACAGATTTTGTGTAAGGCATATAAAAATCTCTTATGGCCCTGACTGGTTTGGCTCAGTGGATGGAGCGTCGACCTGCGGACTGAGGGGTCCCGGGTTCAATTCCAGTTAAGGGCATATACCTTGGTTGTGGGCACATCCCCAGTAGGGGGTGTGCAGGAGGCAGCTGATCGATGTTTCTCTCTCATCGATGTTTCTGACTCTCTGTCCCTCTCCCTTCCTCTGTAAAAAATCAATAAAATATATTTTTTTAAAAATCTTTTATGTACCTCAAGGCTAAATCAAATCCTCATTTTGGTTATTGATTTTCATCTTCTCTTCCTAAGAAGAGGTCACAAAATTGGCCCAGCTCTCTTAATCCTTTTCCTTGCCTGATAGCTAGTGAAAGTATATATTGCTAAATCAAAAAATGAGAGAAAAAATAAGGTGCCCAGAGAATCAGGTCTTACTCATAGAGAGCAAAGGCAGAATACATAGGATTTGTGTGTAGAAGTGTTTTACTAAAATTGCTGACTAGGTCTTATGAAAGTGGACATAGGCTTTGCATGTAGTAAATAGGTCATATATTAAATAAAACCTTGTTTGAGTTTCAGTTTTAAGAAATGATGTTTATGTTTGGGGCAAGGCCCACAATCTGTGTGTATGTGTTTCATTTTTTCATCCTTACCTGAGGATATGTTTATTGATTTTAGATATAGAGAAAGAGAGAGAGAGAGACATTAATATTGATGTGAGAGAGAAACATGAATTGGTTGCCTCCTGTATGTGCCCCGACTGGGGATCAAACCCTCAATCTAGGTATGTGCCCTGACTGGAAATCAAACCCACAACATTTTGGTGTACGGGACGATTCTCCAACCAACTTAGCCACCCAGCAAGGTTGTGTGTGTGTGTTTTTTAAAGTTTCCAGGTTACTATTCTGATATTAGCCAGGTTTGAGGCTCATTGTTCTAAAGTTCAGTAACATAAAAATATTTTTCTCCTGTGATGCTTTTGCAGTCTGAAGATCTGTTCAGCCTTATTGAAACACATGAAACAAAACCATTGAAACTTTATGTGTATAATACAGACACTGATAACTGTCGAGAAGTGATTATTACACCAAATTCTGCATGGGGTGGAGAAGGCAGGTAAGGTCATTTTTAGATTAAATTATAACTGCTTAAACTTAGAGGTGTTGTAAAAATTGATTGTTTTCATTTGGAAACTAGAGGCTCGGTGCACAAAAATAGGTGCACTGGGGGGGGGGGGGTGTCCCTCAGCCCGGCCTATGCCCTCTTGCAGTCTGGGACCCCTTGGAGGATGTCCACCTGCTGGCTTAGGCCCACTCCCTGGGGGGATCAGGCCCAAGCTGGCAGTCAGACATCCCTCTGGCAGCCGGCAGCCCTCGGGGGATGTCCACTTGCCAGTGGGGAGCAGGCCTAAGCTGCAGTTGGACATCCGTAGTGCTGCTGAGGAGGCGGGAGAGGCTCCCACCACCACCGCTGTACTGGCAGCCATCAGCCTGGCTTGTGGCTGAGCAGAGCTCCCCTGTGTGGGAGTACACTGACCACCAGGGGGCAGCTCCTGCATTGAGCGTCTGCCCCCTGGTGGTCAGTGTGTGTCATAGTGACCAGTCATTTCCAGTCGTTCTGCTGTTAGGGTTAGTTTACATATTACCCTTTTATTATATAGGATAGAGACCTGGTGCACGGATGGGGGCTGGCTGGTTTGCCCTGAAGGGTGTCCCGGATCAGGGTGGGGTCCTGCTGGGGTGCCTAGCCAGCCTGGGTGAGGGGCTCATGGTTATTTACAGCTGGTCACACCCCCTTCAGAGTGGGGTTCCCCACTGGGGTGCCTGGCCAGCCTGGGTGAGGGGCTGATGGCTGTTCGCAGGCTGGTCAAGCCCCCCCCCCCCCCCGCCCCAGTGAGGACCCTCACCCCATGGAGGTTTGGCCAGCCTGGGTGAGGGGCTGATGGCTGTTTTCAGGCTGGCCATGCCCCCTGGTGACGGAAGCTCCCAGCCTCTCCTTTTTTTCTTTTTCTTTTTTTAATTCTGGGATTTATTTACCTTCTATAATTGAAACTTTGTAGCCTTGAGAAGAGCTCAGAGCCAGCCAGGGTGGGCAGGAGGGAAGCCTCCTGCTTGCTCCAGCTCCGTGGCCACAGCCAGCTGAAAGCAGGTATCTGGGGTTTATTTGTCTTCTATAATTGAAACTTTGTTGCTTTGAGTGGAGCTCAGAGCCGGGAAGCTTGGATTCCTCCATCATTGGGGCAACCAAGCCTCTTGCTTGCTCCAGCTCTGTGGCTGCTGGCCACCATTGTGGTTGGGTTAATTTGCATATAGTTGCTCTGATTGGCTGGTGGGCGTGGCTTAAGGCGTAGCGAAGGTAAGGTCAATTTGCATGTCTGTCTTTTATTAGTGCTTTATTATAAGACATCTCTTGAAAAAAGATAAGTTATTGCTTTACTATAAGACTTCTCTTGAAAAAAGGAAAGCGTTGACCTAGAACAGTGGTGGGGGGCCTTTTTTCTGCCAAGGGCCATTTGGATATTTATAACATCATTCATTGAATATAATTCACTTAATATAAATTTATGTTGCTATGAACAAAGCTCCTAGATTTATTGAATTTTGATTCCCGCCTGTGGTTGCCTTGGCAGGACCAGACCAATTGATTTCAAGAGCCTTATGTGGCCTGTAGGCCGGATGTTCCCCACCCCGATCTAGAATATTGAACCTAAATTCATTTTAAAAAATGTTTAATTTTTTTTTTATTTTAATTTTATTTTTTAAGAGAGATAGGGAAGGAGAGGGATAGAGAGAGAGGAACATCAATGAGAGAGGAACATGGATTAGCTAGCTGCCTCCTGCATGTCCCCCTTTTGGGGGTTGAACCTGGGACCTCTTGGTTCATGGGTCAAAGCTCAACTACCAAGCCACACTGGCCGAGCAATAATTCTTCTTTTAAAGTACATATTTAGGAAGACTGGTATATAGACTATAGTCCTTTTTTTTTTTTTTTTTTTTTTTTTTTTTTTTTTTTTTTTACTGACCTAAGAGCTAATAGCCTTTTTTTGTTTTGTTATTTTAATCAAATAGTTCAGTTTTATTTTATTTTCCTAATTCCCCTCTTCAACAATGGGACAATACAGTGTAACTTTCTCTAGCTGCTGGGAAGATTTCTTAGACTTTGTGGAAACTGTTGGCTTTCAGAAATAGATAGGCTGATTTCAACCAAGAATTAGACAAAATTGCAATGACCATAAAACTCAATTTAGAAAGAGGATCAAGCCAAGCATGTAAACAGATTTTATAAAAATCAGTTTTCTGGGACTATTTATCAAGACAGTTCCCTAATTTCAAAAAGCTAAAGCAAAGCATGCTGATTTAAATTGCTTTTTTTAGTTCTTTCAGCTGTTGCTTAAATTGTACAAATTTTTCAATATTTTGAAAGTCCTAAGCCTTTTTTAATTTGAAGAATTATTAATCACTAGGGGCCCAGTGCACAAATTCGTGCACCTTGAAAGGAACTGTGGGCCACAAGGCTGCAGTGGGCACAGGGACGGGTCTCAGCCCATACTCCATGCCCTCTCCCGGCCCCTACTACCGCGGCCCCCAGTTCCCTGTCTGCCGGCAGCCCCATTCCCGCCGCTGCTGCTCCCACACAATGATGGTGCCAACCCCACTCAAACCCACTGAAGGTATGGAGCCATTGGTGCCGGTGCCAGTAGTGGGTGCGAATGGGGCGGCTGCTGCCCCGATCGCCCCTCAGGAGCAGGGGGAGGTGGAGAACCCCAAAGGGGCAATTGGGACGGCGCCGGGCGCTGGCAGTGGGTGCAAGCAGTAGCGCCGGCAGCAGGTGCGAATGCCGACCAGTACCATGGCTCATGGGAACAAAAAGTTTTCAGTAACTACCAGAGGCTCTCCCTGATGACAGCGACCGGCACCCCGCCTTGGTCTGACGCCCCCACTCACTGCTCCACCATCCCACCACTGCCGACGCCCACCATGTTCTGCACTCTGCCCCCTGCTGTCAACATCCGCCATGTTCTGTGCGGACCCCCTGGTGGTCAGTGCACGACATAGTGACTGGTTGTTGTTATGCCGTTCAGTCTATTTGCATATTAGCCTTTTATTATATAGGACTAGAGGCCCGGTGCACAAAAATTTGTGCACTCGGGGGGAAGGCGGGGTCCCTCAGCCCGGCCTGTGCCCTCTCGCAGTCTGGGACCCCTCGGGAGATAACGACCTGCTGGCTTAGGCCTGCTCCTGGGTGGCAGAGGGCAGGCCCAATCCCTAGGTGCAGCCCCTGGTCAGGCTCAGAGCAGGGCCGATTGGGGAGTTGGGGCGCCGCCCCCTGTCATGCACAGAGCAGGGCAGATCGGGAGGTTGCGATGCCACCCTCAGTCACTCTCAGGGTAGGGACAATTGGGGGGTTGGGGCACCGCCCCCTGTCACACTCAAGGCAGGGTCGATGGGGAGGTTGTGGCGCCACCCCCTGTCACGCACAGAGCAGGGCCCATCAAGGGGGTTGGGGCTCCGTACCCTGTCATGCACAGAGCAGGGCCCATCAGGGGGTTGGGGAGCTCCCCCCTGTCACGCACAGAGCAGGGCGGATCAGGGGGTTGGGGCGCCGCCCTCTATCACCCACAGAGCAGGGCCAATCAGGGGGTTGGGGCGCCGCCACTGTCACACTCAGGGCAGGGCTGATGGGGAGGTTATGGCTCTACCCCGTCACACACAGAGCAGGGCCCGTGGGGGGGGGGGGGGTTGAGGCACCGCCCTCTACACCCACAGAGCAGGGCCGATCAGGGGGTTGGGGCGCCGCCACTGTCACACTCAGGGCAGGGCTGATGGGGAGGTTATGGCTCTACCCCGTGACACACAGAGCAGGGCCCGTGGGGGGGGGGGGGGGCGTGGTTGTGGCCCCGCACCCTGTCACACACAGAGCAGGGCCAATCAGGGGGTTTGGGAGCTGCCCCCTGTCACGCTGATCCCAGTGCCGGGAGGCCTTGCGGCTCCGCTGATCCCGGTGCTGGGAGGCATATTACCCTTTTACTATATAGCATAGAGGCCTGGTGCACGGGTGGGGGCCGGCTGGTTTGCCCTGAAGGGTGTCCTGGATCAGGGTGGGGGTCCCCACTGCGGTGCCTGGCCAGCCTGGGTGAGGAGATGATGGCTGTTTGCAGCTGGTCACACACCCTTCAGGGTGGGGGTCCCCACTGGGGTGCCTGGCCAGTCTGGGTGAGGGGCAGAGGGCTGTTTTCAGGCTGGTGGGTGACGGAAGCTCCCAACCGCTCCTTTTTTTCTTTTTTTTTGTTTTTTTAATTCTGGGCCAGCTTTAGCCCTGGCTCCAGCTCTGAGGCCTCTGCTGCTGAAAGCAGGTATCTGGTTTGTTTGTGTTCTATAATCGAAACTCTGTATGAACTCCAGCTCTGAGATCCCGGCTCGCTGAAAGCTGGTTTCTGGGGTTTTGTTTAGCTTCTATATTTGTAACAATGTTTCAAACTGCCAGCTCAGAGGCCGGCAAGGCAGGCGGGGAACGTTGGAGTCCGCCATCACTGAAGCAAGCAAGCCTCATTCATGTTCGCTTTAAGCTGCCTGGCTGCCGGCCGCCATCTTGGCTGGCAGTTAATTTGCATATCTCGCTGATTAGCCAATGGGAAGGGTAGCAGTCGTACACCAATTACCATGTTTCTCTTTTATTGGAGAGGATAGTAATTATTATAGGAAAGCTTAGGGTTTGGAAACCTCCAAGTGTTTTGTAAAAGTTCTGCCATTTGCTGGGAAAAGGATGACTTAGTTGATGCAGGCAGAGAAAAACCTCTATTTGCTCACACTATTACCTTTATCCACACTACCTGAGAGTGTATGTTGCCATCAGAATGCTAAGTTGTTGCAATTTGAGAAAATGAGATAGAGCTCTCATTTTAAGAATCTGGCCCGCCTGAAGCAGTACTTGATCAAGTTGTCATAGTTCATTGTCCAGGTTTATAGCCACAGAATATGATCTTAAGACATTCAAAGTCAACTAATTTCAGAGGGACTGCCACATAAAACTAAATTTTTAAGGAAGCGCTGCTGTATTTTATTAGAATGGCAAATTTTCAGTTTACAAAAGAAACTAATAGGTTCTCCAGTTAGAATACTTAGGTCCGATTAGTACCACAAGATTGCTTGGTAAGCATAGAATCAACGTGCAAGGAAGAGATTCTGCAGATGGGGAAGTCATCACTATTTCTTTGATTTTTAATTACAATGCTACATTCTTGTTCTTAGAGCCCTTCTTTTCTAGACTCTGGCAATTACTCCTTTTCTTTGGAAGACATTTTTTCTTTTGACATGACTTACTACCATTGATCAGCCATTGCTTTAAACAGGCCCATACATACCATTTTCCTGAGTCTACTCTCATTTGTCATGTGTCTGCTTCTGGTTTTTATTCCCTCCTCTGAGGCTGTCCACATTTCATTCATTACAGCATATTTCTCTTAGTTTCATTCTTGGGCTAGCTTTAAGTTCGCAGAATGTCTTGCTGTTGCCTTCAAGTGACTATCACCACTTAGTTATTTTGATTAATAAGCACCTTGTTTTAAAATGTAACTACTTCGGAAAGGCTATTATCAATCAGTGTGAATTATTTAATTTTATTCCCTTCAAATTTATCTGAGATCCAGTTCAGTGAGAATTGCAGTTTTGCTGGTAGAAGGAAGGGGGGGAAAAGTGAGAGCAGAAACAAGTAATTTTGTAATGTGAAGCATCATTGTGAAATCAGATTTGGATAAGGAAAAGCTTAAGTTGGCCACTGCCTGCTCTCCCAGCTTTTGGTGGTGGTAATATGCAGAAATAATAAATGCCTTGGCAGGGGGGAGGCACAGACATATCTGCCTGGCCTACTCAGAAAGTGTCAAGTAGTTTGGGAAATAAAAGCAATCACGATAGCCAAACCGGTTTGGCTCAGTGGATAGAGCATCGGCCTGCGGACTGAAGGGTCCCAGGTTCAGTTCCGGTCAGGGGCATGTACCTTGGTTGTGGGCACATCCCCAGTGGGAGGTGTGCAGGAGGCAGCTGGTCGATGTTTCTCTCTCATTGATGTTTCTAACTCTCTATCCCTCTCCCTCTGTCTCTGTAAAAAATCAATAAAATATATTTTTTTAAAAAAAAAAGCAATCACGATAGAAACAGTTGGAACCTGATTGTGATGGGCCTTAAATACCGTGGTCAGGAAATTTGTATATACTTTGGTCAGTGAGACGATGATATTGTATCAGTGGGGGCTCTGTGGTTCCAAACAGTAGAAACCAACTGTCATTGCTGTAAGCCAATGGTTCTCAACCTTCCTAATGCTGCAACCCTTTAATGCAGTTCCTCATGTTGTGGTGACCCCCAATTTCATTGTTACAAATTGAACATAATCAAAGCATAGTGATTAATCACAAAAACAATATGTAATTATATATGTGTTTTCCGATGGTCTTAGGCGACCCCTGTGAAAGGGTCGTTCGACCCCCAAAGGGGTCGCTACCCACAGATTGAGAACTGCTGCTAAGCAGACATGACTTTATTGTTGGGGAATCACTCTTATAATCAAAGAAACAGTTAAAGAATCAGACTTGGGAAGGATAGAACTCAGAACACCTCTAGGAATTTAGAACAGAAGGGCTTTGGCAATTTCATCAGTATTCTACTGAAGGGATGAATGTTTTTGGTTTTCTGTCACTCCCAAGATTTGTAGCCATGGGCAGGAGAGATGGATTGGCTTTGGTCATTAGCAACTCCTTGGTTTGGGCAGGAGAGGCCTTCTGATTGATAGTCACACCAGTATGGCACACAACAGCAGAGAAATAATTCTCCAAAAGGAAGAAGGAAAAATAAATATTGGGAGGCCAATAGACTATGGAAAGAAGCAATGTAATCATATCATTAAAAAGATGGCCTCGCCCTAACCAGTTTGGTCCAGTGGATAGAGCGTCAGCCTGCGGACTCAAGGGTCCCAGGTTCGATTCCAGTCAAGGGCATGTATCTTGGTTGTGGGCACATCCCCAGTAGAGAGTGTGCAGGAGGCAGCTGATCAATGTTTCTATCTCATCGATGTTTCTAACTCTCTCTCCCTCTCCCTTCCTCTCTGTAAAAAATCAATAAAATATATTTTTTAAAAATCATCATTTTCCCCTTTAAAAAAAAAAGATGGCCTCTGGTAAAAGTAAAAGGATGAATTGGAGTCTGGATTAATTTGGATTGATTTTTGTTGTGTTTTGAAATAGAACTATGAGATGTGTAAATTACATCATCATACAGAAGTGCTTGGAGCTCTTCTGTGCAAAGACTATGGCATTCATTCAGCAAATAATTATTAAGTGTCTGCCATGTGTCAGGAACTGCTCAAGGCATTAAACAAAACAAGGTCTCTGCCCTCAAGAACTTTAACATTTTATTAGGGGAGACAGAAAATAGTGTATGGTGTGTTGGATGGTAATAAATACTTGAAGAAAAATAGAGTAAGGGTAATGCCCATGGTGGCGAAAAGGGTGGTGGTATTTCATAAGAGGGTGGTCAGGGGAGCCTCTGATAAGATGACATTATTTAAAAGAATAGAAATGTGTTTTTATATTTCAAAACCTCAATGAAATGCAAGCTATGACTGATAACAGTAACTTTTAAAAATATTTTTTTTTCATAGCCTAGGATGTGGCATTGGATATGGTTATTTACATCGAATACCTACACGCCCCTTTGAAGAAGGAAAGAAAATATCTCTTCCAGGACAGATGACTGGTACACCTATTACTCCTCTTAAAGATGGGTTTACAGAGGTAAGATAACTTTACTGTATGATTATATCATAAAGTTTCCACCAAAATGACTTGAGTGTTGATGTATGTGGTGGTAGCACTAATTGTTGTAGGGTAGATGATGAGTTAAGTATTGACCATGCTGAATTTGAATATACATTTGGATATTCTACAGGTCTGGATTTTAAGAAAGAAGACAAGGCTAGAGATATAGATTTGGGAATCATCAGAAAAGAGAGGGTAATTTAACCCACTGAGCATTAATAAAAATTGTCAAGGGACTGGCCTCTGAGTGAGTTGAAGGACTGACATTGGAATCTTGAACATTTCTAGTATTTAAATGGATGGGCAGAGAAAGGAAGCTCACGAGAGGTCCAGGGGGAGAACAAAGCTTTAAGAAAAAGGGAGATAGGGGGTGAATGGTGAATGATTAAGTGATGATAGCTGGTGTTTATTATTTCAAGAAACTTGACTGGGAAAACAAAGAATGCTAAGTGTGTGGGGACTGTTACAGGATCAAAATGAAGCTTTTTAAGGAATAAGAGATACTTGGACAGGATGAAAGGCCTTTAAACTGTATCCTAAGCAGGGCTCACAGAGCGATTAACTCTTGTCTACACAACTAATTCAAAACCAAACATCAAAAAAGAAAATGCTACAGTTGTAAAGAATAGGTTGCTACCACTGTCATTTTATGGTACACATTTTGACCAGATTCTAGAGAAAGTGAAGAGGAGCTCTGAAGAAGTATAACCTCCGCTTCCTTCTCATCCCCACCATTGGCTTATGGCCAGAGCAGTGTAGTTATATGTTCAGACTCCCCTGCCCATATCTGCTGCCCCTAACCAGATGAGCCTCTAGGACAGTCTGAAGACAGAGGATGAAATAGCAACTAGGGAAAAGGGCTACTATATAAGTTATGTTGAAATGTGCTAGAAGGCATTGGAGCTAGCAGAAATGGAGTATTCAGAGGTAAAACTACCTATCCACCCATCTGTATAGAATCCATATAGACTCATTCATTTTCTCTTGCTGGAAGGTAGAGATCTGGCTGCCACATTCATTCATTGATGAAAAAAGATAAGGTGGACTTATGAGGTGAGGCATCTTGAGAAATGTCTAAGGAATTTATCATGGTTTTAAGACTTCGATCTGATTTCTTCCATGACCAATGAAAATTTAAAACAAAAATTGGCTGAGAACTCAAAGAAGAAAGCAGTGGCGATATAAGGGTTGAGTAAAGTGATTTTTGGATGGCCCGGAATGAGGATGATAGAATCTACTCCTAGTGTGGAAGTAGCTATAACTGTGTGTGTAAAAAGGTAGATGCCGTGTATCAAGAGACTGGAAGTGACAGGATGGGAAGGTAGTTACAGTGCATGGTCCTTGGCATATACCAACATTAGGAAGGAGTCCCAGAAGGCAGCAGTGCTGGGTTAACATATTTGACAGTATATGATCAAAAAATCTGTAGGACCGGTGAGAGTCAATATTTATATTTTCTTGTAAATACACTTGAGTAATTTTTTTTCTTTCTACTTCTTCTTTTTTTTCTGGAAGGTCCAGCTGTCCTCGGTTAATCCCCCATCTTTGTCACCACCTGGAACCACAGAAATTGAACAGAGTCTGTCAGGACTTTCTATTAGCTCAACTGCACCAGCTATCAGTAATGTTCTCAGCACAGGTATACAGAAAAATGTATTTTGTTTTTCACTTTGTTTGACCTGTTACTCTTTTCTGTCTCAGGCTACACAATTTTAAAAAATCAATGCCAGTATACTTTGAAAACTGTAAATATGCTCTGTATTGACAGGCCCTGTCTGTGAAACTTAGTACTAAATCACCATGCGTTTGAGACACAGCATTTAAACTTCTTCTCAATATAGTTCTGACTTTGGGCTTCTCTTAATATTGTACAAGTTGTAGAGCCAGACTCTACCTTGAAATTCTGTTTAATTGCTCTGTTTATTCAACAGATGTTGCATATCCCTGAAGTGGTAAACACTGGGGATACAAAAGTGAGCAGGATACCATGTATTCCTTTCCTAGGGGCTCAGTCTTGCTCGGGAAACATGTGTCTGTCTCCTTTCCTTTATTACTTGTTCTACATAATACATATAGTCCCTGTTTGTTTTTGTGATGTTATTTTTTTTAAATACATTTTATTGATTTTTTTTACAGAGAGAAAGGGAGAGGGATAGAGAGTCAGAAACAACGATGAGAGAGAAACATCAATGAGAAACATCGATCAGCCGCCTCCCGCACACGCCCCACTGGGTATGTGCCCGAAACCAAGGCACATGCCCTCAACTGGAATCGAACCTGGGACCCTTGAGTCCACAGGCCGATGCTCTATCCACTGAGCCAAACCTGTTAGGGTGTGTTGTTATTTTTTTAACAGCTTTATCAAAATCTAATTCACATACCGAACAATTCGTCCATTAAAAATATACATTTCAGGGAGGGGGTGGTGAGTTTATTTGCAGAGTTGTTTAATCATCACCTCAGTCAATTTTAGAAAAATTTTATTACCCCAAAAGAGACCCTATACCCATTACCAGTCACTTCCTATTTTTCCCCAACGTGCCCCCTCCTCGCTTGGCCTAGGCAGTTACTGATCTACTTTCTTTCTATGGATTTGTCTAATCTAGGCCTTTCATATAATACTAGGGGCCCGGTGCATGGGTGGGGTCCAGCTGTGGGGAGGGGCCGAGGGAGGTTGGCCGACTGCCCCCACCCACGGGGGCTGGTTGGCCGGCCACAGTGTGTGTCATAGTGACCTGTCGTTCCGGTCACTTGGCTTTTATATATATAGATAGGTATGTGCAGTTTCCTGTGATTAGCTTCTTTCACTTTGAATAATGTTTTTAAGATTCATTCATGTCATAGCATATATTAAAACTTCGTCCCTTTTTATGGCTAAATATTATCCCATTGGATTGATATTCCACATTTTGTTTATTCATCAGTTGAGGGACTTTTTAAATTATTTCTACTTTTTGGCTACTATTAATAGTATTGCTATGAACATTTGAGTACAAGTTTTTATGGAATTGCTTGGTCACATAATATAGTTCTTAACTTGATATGTTGGTAGAGTTTATTTTTTTCTTTCCTTTTTTAAAAATCTTCTGTTTTTTGGTTTTCTTCCTTCATAATACTATACCTAGAGTATATTATGTACTCAAATATTAAGTGAATTAAATACTGACATGGTTTAGTTTTATTTCCTTAGTACTTTTTATTCTTGAACTATTTGTATTCAATATTTGCTTACATGTTCTGGAATGGATTTAAAACAGCCCAGCAAGATACAACTTAAGGTCAAGAGTATAATCTCTGGAGTGGTCCCCTAGGCAAATCAAAGCTCTTTTTAGAATCTTTGTTTTTTTCCCCAAAGAAGTGTTTTTCTAGATGAATTTTTAAATTTTAATTTCTTATAATTAAAAATTTAACTCGGAAGTGGGTAGAATAGTATAACAAACCCTCACTATCCAGCTTCATTTGTTATCAGTATGGTGACATATCTTCCCAACCCTACTCTTTGTTGTTTTTTTCCCCCAGTATATTTTTATTGATTTCAGAGAGTAAGGAGAGGAAGATAGAAAAATCAATGATGAAAGAGAATCATTGATCGGTGCCTCCTGCGCACCCTGCACTGGGGATTGAGCCCCAACCAGGCATGTGCCCTGACCAGAAATCAAACTGTAACCTCCTGGTTCATAGATCGATGCTCAACCACTGAGCCATGCCAGCCAGACTTTTTGTTAACTTTTTTCCCCAACTTGATTGAGGTGTAATGTGCACACCATAAAATTAATTCACTGTAAATACACAATTCAGTGTCTTTCAGTAAATTTAAATAGGGAGTTGTGCAGTCATCACCACAATCCAATTTCAAGACATTTCCTAGACATTAACTATTAATGTCATCAATATCACGTCTTAAATACAGTTGGGAGGGATTTTAAAGTTTGTTTCATATAAGTGGTGTTTGAATTCTTTATATATTATGATTTTTTTTTCTTATACCCCATCAGATGCTCCTGTAGTTTTCCTGAATAGACTTAGTAAAGGTGGATTGGGGTTCTTCTCATGGCAGAGGCTGTATCTGTGTCTGAGTAACTCTACCTGCTTTAGAGTAAGAGGGTTCCTATGTCTTATAATAAGTCTTCTGATTTTAGAGGACAGCTGACATCTCTCTTCAAGTCCCACTTTCTTTTTGACATTTTAGCTCTCCCCTCATTACATTAGAGTTATGCAGTACTTGTATTATCTTACAAGCACATGCACTGAGATCCTTGACCTTATAACACTACAGAGAAATGGTTTCTTGAGTATTAAAAGAAAGACACTATAGATAAAGCAGTAATTGCTCAAAAGAGATTGTAAGATACTAACATTTTCACTTCAAGTAACTCAATTTAAAAATACTCCTATGTCCTAGCATCATAGTGTGAGAAACGATTTTTTGTTAGGCATTTATTTTTCTGTTTTTGCTTTTATTTTATTTTTTAAAAATGTATATTTATTGATTTCAGAGAGGAAGGGAGAGGGAGATATAGAAACATCAGTGATGAGAATCATTGATCAGCTGCCTCCTGCACACCCCCTGCTGGGGATCGAGCCTGCAACCCGAGCATGTGCCCTTGACTAGAATCGAACCCAGGACCCTCCAATCCCCAGGCTAACGCTCTATCCACTGAGCCAAACCAGCTAGGGCTGTCTTTGCTTTTAATTATATTGCTGCAAAGTAGCCCAAAGAGTAACTGTAGAAATACAGAAATATATGGTTTTTAAAAATGACTTCTCTGTGGGTTGATAATTTTTAGATTATGAAAGTTTTAGAAAATGAATGTATCATGTTGTAATGGCATTAATCAGTGTGACCTTTCTGGTACACCCCCACAACACTTCCTGACTCCCATCTTTGCTCATTTTTTCTGCAGAGAACTTACACCATTTTACACACTATGTATTTTATTTGTTTAATATTTGTCTTTTCTGGCCTTCATTAGAATGTAAGTTTTGTAAAGGTCTTGATTCCTATTTTTTTATGCTGTGAAGAGCCTCCGGGTCTAGAACAATATGTAATATATAAGGGCCCCTCAAAAACTTGAGTAAATGAACGCACCAACCAACCATCCAACAACCTCGTGGAGAGTATGATAAAAGCAAAGAATCCTCTTCTACTTTTGCATGCCCCCAATTTCTACAGTAAATAAATGAATAAATAATATCTGAAGATGGTTGCTTCATACTTTTAGGCACAATTTCTTTTTTTTTTCTTTTTTTAAAATTAAATCTTTATTGTTCAGATTATTACATTTGTTCCTCTTTTTTCCCCCCATAACTCCCCTCCTCCCAGTTCCCACCCCACCCTCTGCCCTCACTCCCCACCCACTGTCTTCATCCATAGGTGCACGATTTTTGTCCAGTCTCTTCCCGCATCCCCCACCCCTGTCCCCCCCAAGAACAGTCAGTCCACTCCCTTTCAATGCCCCTGATTCTATTATAATCACCAGTTCATTCTGTTCATCAGATTATTTATTCACTTAATTTTTAGGTTCACTTGTTGATAGATGTGTATTTGTTGTTCATAATTTGTGTCTTTACCTTTTTCTTCTTCTTCTTCTTCTTAAAGGATACCTTTCAGCATTTCATATAATGCTGGTTTGGTGGTGATGAACTCCTTTAGCTTTTCCTTATCTGTGAAGCTCTTTATCTGACCTTCAATTCTGAATGATAGCTTTGCTGGATAAAGTAATCTTGGTTGTAGGTTCTTGCTATTCATCACTTTGAATATTTCTTGCCATTCCCTTCTGGCCTGCAAAGTTTCTGTTGAGAAATCAGCTGACAGTCATATGGGTACTCTCTTGTAGGTAACTGACTTTTTTTCTCTTGCTGCTTTTAAGATTCTCTCTTTGTCTTTTGCTCTTGGCATTTTAATTATGATGTGTCTTGGTGTGGTCCTCTTTGAATTCCTTTTGTTTGGGGTTCTCTGCGCTTCCTGGACTTGTAAGTCTATTTCTTTGAGCAGGTAGGGGAAGTTTTCTGTCATTACTTCTTCAACTAGGTTTTCAATATCTTGCTCTCGCTCTTCTTCTGGCACCCCTATAATTCGGACGTTGGTACACTTGAAGTTGTTCCAGAGGCTCCTTACACTATCTTCATATTTTTGAATTCTTTTTTCATTTTGCTTTTCCGGTTGGTTGTTTTTTCCTTCTTCGCATTTCAAATCTTTGACTTGATTCTTGCGATCCTCTGGTCTGCTGTTGGGAGTCTGTATAATATTCTTTTTCTTTTTTTATATATTTTATTGATTTTTTACAGAGAGGAAGGGAGAGAGATAGAGAGTTAGAAACATCGATGAGAGAGAAACATCGATCAGCTGCCTCCTGCACATCCCCCACTGGGGAAGTGCCCGCAACCCAGGTACATGCCCCTGACCGGAATCGAACCTGGGACCTTTCAGTCCGCAGGCCGATGCTCTATCCACTGAGCCAAACCGGTTTCCGCTGTATAATATTCTTTATTTCAGTCAGTGTATGCTTAATTTCTAGTTGGTCTGTTATCACAACATCGAGGGTCTCACTAGATTTCTTGAGGATCTCACTACATTTATTGGCGGTTTCTAGAAAGTTCTTGAAAAACCTTAAAAGTGTGGTTTTAAACTCTATATCCAGTAGTTTGCTTTCCTCCATTTCTGTCATTTGTGTCCTGTTTCTTTGTCTCCACATTTTTTATGCTTCCTTGTGTTGATAAAGTGGTTTTCTGTGCTAAGTGTCCTCTAGGGCCCGGTGGCTCAGCCTCCCCAATTACCTGAGGTAGACACTCTTGGTGCACCCCCTTGTGGGCTTTGTGCACAGTCTTGTTGTAGTTAAGCCTTGATTGTTGTAGGTAACACTGGGAGGATTTGACCTCCAGGAAAATTGGCTGTGAGAATTAGCTGCGTCTATGGTGGGAGAACTTCTGTGCTGAAGACACCCGTATGGGGCAAGACTTGCTTCAGTGGGGCTTTGGTGCTCACTGAGTCTGTCCCCTGAGTGTGTCCCTTATGGATCTGAGGAGTTGTAATTGGATGGTCCCACTCTGACCACTGGGAACACAGGCTCTTGGATCTAAGAAGGTGCTAATCTAACCTCTGCCTAAGGCTACCTAGCAGAAGCCAGCTGTAAAACAATGCAGGTTGCCCTGGGGCCTTGGGGCAGCTACAGTTTTTGAGGTAATTTTCAGATTACAAAGGGCCGGGCCTTTCATATGCAAAAGCCTCGTGCACGGCTTGGGCGGGGCAGGGTCCCAGGGTATCAACAGGGTGGGCGGAGCAAGCAGTATGGCTGCTCTCGGTCCTGTCCTCAGAGGCCCCGGCAATCGCTGCGAGTGCCTCCGAGAGAAAGCTGCCCTCGAGTTCCGACTGATGCCAGACAGTCCCGTTTCTCCCGTATGAGTCTGTGTCCCCAGAGACTCGCCCGGAACTGGAGCTCAGAGCTTGAGACTCCCTCCCGATTGAAAAAGACAATCGTGACCTCAGCCGCCAGCCCTCTCTGCATGCACCTCCGCACCTTTGTATTTTACTTCCGCACCGCACCTCCTCTGAGTCTCGGTATGCTTTTCTCTTTCCTTCTAGTTGTAGAATTTCCACTCAGCCAGCCTTCCTGTGGTTCTGGATGTTGTCCGTTCTGTCTTTTAGTTGTATTTTTGAAGTGGATGTGCGAGGCAGCAATCTCCAGTGTTTACCTATGCCACCATCTTGGTTCTCCTCCACAATTCATTTCTACTACTGTATTTAAGCAGATCTCTATAAGATTAAGATAAAAACTAGAATTTATTTGCAATATTACTATTGTTTTGACATCAGCAAGACATCCCATATAAGTAGGTGAGAAACTTTAGTAGGTAATCTTGATCAGGCAGTATCGCAAGAGTTAACCTATCTAATAAAAGAGAAACATGGTAATTAGCTGTACATCTGCTACCCTTCCCATTGGCTAATCAGGGCGATATGCAAATTAACTGCCAGCCAAGATGGCAGCCGGCAGCCAGGCAGCTTGAAGCTAACATGAGGCTTGCTTGCTTGCTTCAGTGACGGAGAACTCCAACGTTCCCCGCCTGCCTTGCCGGCCTCTGAGCTGGCAGTTTGAAACATTGTTACAAATATAGAAGCTAAACAAAACCCCAGAAACCTGCTTTCAGCGAGCCGAGCCGGGATCTCAGAGCTGGAGTTGATACAGTGTTTCAATTATAGAACCCAAACAAACCAGATACCTGCTTTCAGCAGCAGAGGCCTCAGAACTGGAGCCAGAGCTAAAGCTGGCCCAGGATAAAAGAAAGAAGAAAAAAAGGAGCAGTTGGGAGCTTCAGTCATCCACCAGCCTGAAAACAGCCCTCAGCCCCTCACCCAGACTGGCCAGGCACCCCAGTGGGGACCCCCACCCTGAAGGGTGTGTGACCAGCTGCAAACAGCCATCATCCCCTCATCCAGACGGGCCAGGCACCCCAGTGGGGACCCCCACCCTGAAGGGTGTGTGACCAGCTGCAAACAGCCATCATTCCCTCATCCAGGCTGGCCAGGCACCCAAGCGGGACCCCCACCTTGATCCAGGACACCCTTCAGTGCAAACCAGCTGGCCCCCACCCATGCACCAGGCCTCTATCCTATATAGTAAAAGGGTAATATGCCTCCCAGCACCGGGATCAGCGGAGCCGCGAGGCCTCCCAGCACTGGGATCAGCGTGACAGGGGGCAGTGCCCAAACCCCCTGATTGCCCTGCGGCTCTGTGTGTGACGGGGCGGGGCCACAACCTCCCTATCCGCCCTGCTCTGTTCGTGACAGGGGAAGGCGCCCCAACCCCCTGATCAGCCCTGCTCTGTGCCTGATAAGGGGGAGCTCCCCAACCCCCTATCGGCCCTGCTCTGTGGGTGATAGAGGGCGGCGCCCCAACCTCCCGCCCCCCACAGGCCCCGCTCTGTGTGTGTTGGGGTAGAGCCATAACCTACCCATTGGCCCTGCCCTGAGTGTGACAGTGGCAGCGCCCCAACCCCCTGATCGGCCCTGCTCTGTGGATGATAGAGGGCAGCGCCCCAACCCCCTGATCCGCCCTGCTCTGTGTGTGACAGGGGGGAGCTCCTCAACCCCCTGATCGGCCCTGCTCTGTGCGTGACGGGGGATCTCTCCAAACCCCTGATGGGCCCTGCTCTGTGCGTGACAGGGGGGAGCTCCCCAATCCCCTGATTGGCCCTGCTCTGTGCGTGACAGGTGGTGGCGCCGCAACCTCCCCATCGATTCTGCCTTGAGTGTGACGGGGCGGTGCTCCGACCCCCCAATCGGCCCTACCCTGAGCGTGACTGAGGGTGGCATCGCGACCTCCCAATCCGCCCTGCTCTGTGCATGACAGGGGGCGGCGCCCCAACTCCCCAATCGGCCCTGCTCTGAGCCTGACCAGGGGCTGCACCTAGGGATTGGGCCTGCCCTCTGCCACCCGGGAGCAGGCCTAAGCCAGCAGGTCGTTATCTCCCGAGGGGTCCCAGACTGTGAGAGGGCACAGGCCGGGCTGAGGGACCCCTCCCCTCCCCCCTGAGTGCACAAATTTTTGTGCACCGGGCCTCTAGTTTGTATATAAAGAACATAGCCTCCTCAAGCTAGCATAAGTGAAAATGGGAATGTTCTGGACCTCAGAGAAGTGTCACAGAACCTACAGTCAAATGGAAATGGAGATCCAGGAAGCCAGGCCATTCTCTCCATCTCTGGAGGTTCACTTACTCTTTTGTCTCTTTCTCTTTCAGAGCCCAGCACTCACTATTTCATCAGGCATATGGCTCCCACCCCTCCAGCAGGCCCAGGTCCCCATGGTTTCTTAGTTCAGGAGCCCAATGGAGACTGACTAATCTTTGCATTCCATTTCCAGATTTGCAAAAGCAATTTTGTAATCTAACCCTGCTTAGGTCAAGTGTAAAAGTCTCATCCAGTGAGCTTAGCTGGACTGGCTTTGCTGAGCCTCCTGCCCTCTCGGCCCAGGCTCTAACAGTTTTTGTTAGGGGCCATGGGCAGAGTAGATAGACCAGCTGTGACACCTAGTGACACAGCCAGAAATTATCTAAATGAAGTCCCACTGACCACCTGGGGGGCGGGGGAGTGTGGGGGGACTAAACACTGTGAATATAATCTGTTTATTCTTTGTCAACTGAATTTGTTATAAATTTTTAAAAGATTATACTTTTATTTTAGGTGTACCAACAGTACCATTATTGCCACCACAAGTAAACCAGTCCCTCACTTCTGTACCATCGATGAATCCAGCTACTACATTACCAGGTAAGCAGCAGGAGACTTGAGATGTGTGTAATAAGCATTACTAACATTTTGCATCTTAAAAAGCAATGAAAAAAATGTTACACCTATGGAGTGACTTTTTATGTCTTTTAATCCCATTTTGCCTCTGTAACTTTGTGATAAATGAGAGCAAGAGGAAATGAACCAACTTACCACCCCTTCCCACCCCTCATGCAGCATGAGGCAGGAATAAGAAATATGTACAAGTTTGGTTCTTCAGTGCGTCCTTAGTTGGGCTTTCTCATAGTTGTCTACTAGTATGTGAATACACATTATGTCCTGGGAGGGAGCACTCCTTATCTGCATCTTTAGTAGCTTGAACATTAGATTTGGGTTTATTTCTCTTACTGTTCCCAATGAACACGAGTCCCTTTATCTTGCAAATAATAATCAAGTATTATTTCACTGATCAAATATGTTTGCATTGTGGGAGTCTTTAATTATATGGCTAAAGATGTTGTTATACAGACATATTAAGCCATTGTTAACCCATTAACCAAGTATGTACACACTCAAACACAGAATGATAAAGCAAGTGTGATAAAATGTTAACATTTGGGGAATTTGAGTGAAAGGTATATTTGGGGGTTCTTTATATCAACTGCTTTTTGTAACCCTAAGTCTGAAATTATTTCAGGATTTGAAAAATAAAAAAAGGCCAGAGAGACTGTAAACCTCAACCAACAAAGAAAACTTCCATTCCATTTTACTACCATTCTTGCTGGATAAATCACCCCTTTCTCCAGACACTTGGACCTCATCGTTCTTGCTCTTGGGTTTAGAACAGCAGTTCTCAACCTGTGGGTCGCGACCCCTTCCGAGGGGTCGCCTAAGACCATCGGAAAACACATATATAATTACATATTGTTTTTGTGATTAATCACTATGCTTTAATTATGTTCAATTTGTAACAATGAAATTGGGGTCACCACATCATGAGGAACTGTATTAAAGGGTCGCGGCATTAGGAAGGTTGAGAACCACTGGTTTAGAAGAATTAGTATTTGTTTTAACTCTTAGCCATTTAATCAGTTAGGTATAGAAAGACATTTTGCTTCACCTCACTGGCGAGGCTCAGTGGTTGAGCCTTTACCTACGAATCTGGAGGTCATGGTTCAATTCCCAGTCGGGGCATATGCCCGGGTTGCAAGCTCAATTCCCAGTGTGGGGCAGGAGGCAGCCAATCAATGATTCTCTTTTATCGTTGATGTTTCTATCTCTCTTCCTCTCCCTTCCTCTCTGAAATAAATAAAAATATTTTTTAAAAAACAGACATTTTGCTTCAGTGAGATTTTATTGTTAAGTTGTTATGATACGAAACTGCCACATAGTAAGTGGACTTCTCACTTTGAAGTGAGTAGTATTTTTTCAACACAAATGGATTGAATGTTTTCCCCCCGGGAACTGGTTAACCTTTTGTTCTCACCTTCTCTTCAGGTCTGATGCCTTTACCACCAGGACTACCTAACCTGCCTGCCCTCCCCAACCTCAACCTCCCCACACCGCACGTCATGCCTAGCGTCAGCCTTCCAGAACTCGTGAACCCAGGTATGTTGCCTATCTTGCCTTCCTAGGGCTCTAACTAATAAAAAGTTTTATCTAGGAAAGCCAATCCTCTATTTCAGGGCTGTTGTAGTTTTTTTTCTGGAAAAGGCAGATCAGTTTAATAAATTTTAGCTGCCTCAAATCAATATTAATCTTTTTTATTTAAAAGGCTTTTTAAAAAAAGAGGAAGCCCTAACCGGTTTGGCTCAGTGGATAGAGTGTCAGCCTGTGGACTGAAGGGTCCCAGGTTTGATGCATGTTCCTTGGTTGTGGGCGCATCCCCAGTAGAGGGTGTGCAGGAGGCAGCTGATTGATGTTTCTAATCTCTATCCCTCTCCCTTTCTCTCTGTAAAAAATCAATAAAATATATGTTTAAAAAATATATTTTTTTATTAAAATAAAAAAAAGAGGAAGAAGTTATCTTTGTGATTCTCCTCTCACTGCGCCCTGACAAATCATGCACCACAAAGGCCATTTGTAGAAGTAAAGAGAGTGTGTGGTGTCACGCTGCTATAACTAAATAGGATGGAAGGTGTACATTTCACCCAGTGGAGGTGAATGAACTTCTAAGATTCTCCTTGTGTTTGGGGCGGCTGCCCCCTGTGGTGCCTATCTTGCGTAGCCCAGGCCCGGAAACTTAGACTGTAAAACCATTGCCCTTGCTCAGCTGGTTAGCTTATTTTTTGATAAATACTTGTCATTTAATAAATATTCTCCATTATTAATAAATGTTTTTAGCCCTAACCGGTTTGGCTCAGTGGATGGAGCGTCGGCCTGCGGACTCAAGGGTCCCGGGTTTGATTCCGGTCGGGGGCATGTGCCTTGGTGGCAGGCACATCCCCAGTGGGGGGCGTGCAGGAGGCAGCTGATCGATGTTTCTGTCTCATCGATGTTTCTAGCTCTCTATCCCTCTCCCTTCCTCTCTGTAGAAAATCAATAAAATATATTTAAAATAAATAAATAAATAAATAAATGTTTTTATAATAAAAACTGTGAGAGATTTTAGCTGCAAATAGGTAAGTTAGCAGATACTCAGTGTTCACACTCTTCTTATGCACTGATGAAAATGAAGTAGCAGAGTATATCCCACAAGTCTGCTCTTCCAGTTAATGGTTACCCAGGTTACCTTTGGCTTGGAGAGGGCCACATGTCAGGGCTGACTTTTCATTCCTGTAAACGCTGATGCTTATTGTCTTAGCTCTCTCTGTCTTTTCTTCTGTGTCCTACATTCTTGGCTTTTTCCTCTGTCTTTTCCCCAAATTGACATTGAGGGTTTAACCAGCCCAGTGCTTGCCCTGAACCTGTTGTGCAAACTGCCTTTCCATTGTTTCTGAAAGAAGTAATACTCTTTTCCTTTATTATTATTGATTCCTTATTTTTAATCCTCACTCAAGAAGTTTTTTTTTAATTATATACTTTTATTGATTTCAGAGAGGAAGGGAGAGGGGGAGAGAGAGATAGAAACATCAATGATGAGAGAGAATCATTGATTGGCTGCCTCCTGCATACCCGCTACTAGGGATCGAGCCCACAACCCAGGCATGTGCCCCTGACCGGAATCGAACCTAGGACTTTTCAGTCTGTAGGCCGACACTCTATCCACTGAGCCAAACCAGCTAGGGCTCTTTTTTTCCCCCCATTAATTTCAGAGTGAGTCAAAGGAGGTGGGGGCAGGGTGGAGAGAGAAACATCCATGTGAGAGAGACACATCTACTGACTGCCTCTCGCATGTGCCCCCACTGGGGGCAAGAAATGAACCCACAACCAAGGTACATGCCCTTGACCAGAAATTGAACCCTTGACCCTTTATTCCGAAAGCTGACACTCTAACCATTGAGCAAACTGGCCAGGGCTATTGTGCATTTTAAAATCAACACAATAAACCCACTAAGTATAAACAGTTATCCATCAATCTTGGGGCTTGAGCAGCAGGGGCTTCATGACAAGCTCCTCCTTCCACAGTCTTCCCAGAGGCTGCCTTCTGTGTCTCCTCTTCCTATTGTCTGTCCAGGGCAGCTCTCAGTCAGCTTGCAGCTTTCCTGGGTGAGTGGGATTCTCCTGTCCGACACTCGTTGTAGCTGTGGTGCCTGCTGGAGGGGTTGCTCTCTGTCCCACTGGGAGAGTCATTTCTTCCCTGAGATGGGACTGGGAGCCGAGGCATATAGGAGCCTAGACACAGGGAGCCTTTCCTCCTGGCCAGCTGGTCAATAAAAACAGTTATGTGACTGTGACTACTGCTCTTTTAGTGCTGGGAGGATGTGTGATCTGTGCTGTTTTTGTCCTAGGTTTGCCACCTCTTCCTTCCTTGTCTTCCCGAAACTTACCTGGCATTGCAGCTCTCCCCTTGCCATCCGAGTTCCTTCCGTCATTCCCTTTGGTTCCAGAGATCTCTTCAGCAGCAGGCTCAGCGGAGCTGTTGTCCTCCCTCCCACCCACCAGCAGCCCACCCTCCGACCCCGTCATGACCACTGCAAGAGCAGATGCTGTCTCAGCACTCACTCTGGATGTAACGCTCCCAACTTCCAAGGCCCCGATCACTGTTGAGGACAGAGTCAGCGAATCTGCCCTAGCCAGCCAGAAGCCTGTTTCTTCGGTAACAGATGCAAATGCCTCTGAGTCACCTTAACTTTGAACCATCTTTGGAGTTGGCTCGGTGTGCTTATTTAACCACGGAAACGAATCTGGAAACGCAAACTATCATTAATTTCATACTAGTTTTTATCATATCTGTAGGCTCCTGTAAATAATTCTAAGAGAAAACTAAGCAAGAGGATCTGAGATTGTATCCTGCCGAATCAGGGTGGGTCATGGGCTGGGGAGGGAAATGTCAGAAAGTGCTTGTATTTTAAAAACAACCAAAAAGAATTGTAAGAGGGCTTGCTGCCAGGTTTCCACTGCCATTCTTGGGGTGTGCATCTTTGGGAAAGGTGGCAACAAGGTGTCTACTTTTGTCCCTGTCCCCCTGCTGCTCCTCTGTAAGAAAATGAAACATTTTATGCCTCGTTCTCACATGCAGCATTTCTTGTAGTTTGTAAATCATTTGCGTGAAAGCAGACCAATTCACTAAACCGTGAAAGGAAAAAAATATTTTACTTTTGGTCTCCATGAGTCACATCTCTATTAAAGTTTACACAAAAATCCAGCTAAAGATGCTTGATAAAGTTACACAATGTGCACTAGTAATTGAACATCTTTTTATTCAGCCTATACACGGATCCTTGTTTTGAGCTCTCAAAATTACTCAGACAACATTTTGTAACTGCTGCTGTTGCTTTATACGTCCAACATAAAATACATTTAAAAAGAAATAAAGGAGGTGTTGGTGTTGCACAGTTTTAAACCAGAAGGTGGCACTTTGTGGCTACATCAGATATTACAACTATACTGGGAAAGCATAGATACAGCAATAAATTATAGTAATTTGACTTTTCTTGTGATACATTTAAATTATATCTGTTTTTAAATAAGATGAAAGAACTTCATCAGTTATTGACCTGGCACTGGCATGAACATTGCTAAGAGAATAGCACATAGAACTACAACCATTCAGCTAACTAGGGTCATCAGCTCCAGCTCAGAGCCTCCAACAGGGGCCAATGCCAGTCAGTTCTTAGCATATATCCATTTCTAGAGCCAGATTTCTAGTTAAAATTATTAAAGAAGGCTCCAACTCTAATCATAGCATCTTCTGTTTAAATTATAAATATTTCTAGAATAGTTCTCTCAATCCTATTTTTAGAGAGGAGCTTATAACCGGTAGGAAAATTATTCACAAGTATATTTAAACTAGAGGCCCGATGCATGAAATTCATGCAAGGGGCTCGGCCCTCGCAGCCCCAGCTTCATCTAGAACAGGGGTGGGCAAACTTTTTGACTCGAGGGCCACAATGGGTTCTTAAACTGGACCGGAGGGCCAGAACAAAATATGGATGGAGTGTTTGTGTGAACTAATATAAATTCAAAGTAAACATCATTACATAAAAGGGTATGGTCTTTTTTTTTTTTAGTTTTATTTCAAACGGGCCAGATCCGGCCCGTGGGCCGTAGTTTGCCCACGCCTGGTCTAGAAGGTCATCTGGCTGGTCTAATTAGCATATTGTGCTTTTATTATTATAGATGGTATAATTGTTTACTTTCCAGGACAGGAAAAGTTGAGCAAGTTGTTACTACTTTATAAAAGATGTTCATTGTGTGTGTGTGTGTGAGTGTGTGTGTGTGTGAGTGAGTGAGATACCTTAGACCAGTGGTTCTCAACCTTCCTAACGCCGCGACCCTTTAATACAGTTCCTCATGTTGTGGTGACCCCCAATTTCATTGTTACAAATTGAACATAATTAAAGCATAGTGATTAATCACAAAAACAATATGTAATTATATATGTGTTTTCCGACAGTCTTAGGCGGCCCCCAAAGGTCGCGACCCACAGGTTGAGAACCGCTGCCTTAGTGGAAAGCAAGTCATTTTTTAAAATATATTTTTATTGATTTTGGGGGAGGGGGGGGGAGAAACATCAATGATGAGAGAGACTCATTGATCGGCTGCCTTCTGCACGCCCCTACTACAGATTGAGCCTGCAACCCGGGCATGTGCCCTGATGGGAATTGAACTGTGACCACCTGGTTCTTAGGTCGATGTTCAACCACTGAGTCATACTGGCTGGGCAATTTTTAAGATTTACAAAATGATTTTTTTAAGTTCCTCCAACGCAATGATATTACCTCTTGTGGGATCACAGTTCTCATTTGAAAATGACAACATCCCTAGACCATCCTCCCAGGAAAATGTCCATAAGTATATGTAAAACCCTGAGCTCTGGGGAGAAAGGGCTTCTTAGCATTCCCTCGGAAGATAGCCACAGACCTGGCCTAGATTGGCTCATTAGATCTTTACTTATTTTAGATATTCTCTGCTTCTTTCAGAAAAAAACAAAAACAAAAAAGACAAGTTTTGGTGTTTATAGACAGCAGTAGGTTCTGTACCAGGTGCCAGAAATGTGATATAAAAAAAACAGTGTCTCTACCAAGAAGCCACTCGCTGTGGCCTTTTTGGGGGGGTCAGTCCTCAGGACTCTCCAGAATAAGTGCTCTAACATGGAGGAGCTCCAGCGAGATGAGGATCACAAAGGCAGAATTACCTTTGAACCCTCTGCACCACTCAGCTTGTGCCCAAGTGCCACAAGAGAGGCACAAGGCAGTAATGGGGGAGGACATTAGTTTTGAATAGGCTGTTACCACAACAATTCTCAAAATAATAGTGGCTTAAACAAGAATGTTTATTTCTCTCCCATATTCAGAGAGTCGGAGGTAGACCAGCTGAGGCAGGCCTAGCCCCTGGGATATCAGAGACCTGGGCTCTCTGCTCGTAGTTTTACGGGTGTGCTTTCCATTTCTAAGGTCAGCATACGGACCCAGATGGCAGCTGGAGCCCCAGCTACACACACCATTCTCATTCCAGCCAGAAGAGCAACTCCTGTCCCCCTTCCTTTGGGGGCAATTCAGAAAAGTTTCACACAGCACTTTAGCTCACATCCTTCTGGCCAGTGTGGAGTCACCAGGCCACTTTTAGCTGAAAAAGAGACTGAGATGAAGTCTTTATCTCATCATATGCCCAGCCATTGCTGATAAGGAAGAGGAGTAACTAATGCAACCTAAGTGCCTGGCTGGGGAGTTGGGCCTTTGTCTTAAAAACAGGAGTCACAAAAGAACAAAACAAAGAGGAAGAAAAGAAAAAGAAAATAAGAAAAACAGTCACTGGAGGAGTATTTCCTTGGGGAAAAGCTCAGATTTGCATTTGAGAAAGCCTGCCTAGCAGAGTGGAGGGGGCAGAGCGTCAGGGCCAGGGAAGTGGCTCTGTTACTCAAAGGCCACTTTGGTAGCTAAGACCATCTGTGATGATGACTTTACGTTTCCCCTTGGTTTTTGTTCCTGTTTTACTGAATGTGCTTACCTTTGAATAGCCTCATTTAGCTCATTGCCTGGAAAGTGAATATAAAAAGGAGAAACAGTTTCCTCATTTGTGAGATACCAACTACAGTTCAAGGATGGCTCTTCCTTGGCCTGAAGGTGAAGGCCTCCCCTCTAATTATCTGACCACCCAGCAAGCCTTTCCACCCGCTTAAAATCACCTCAATTAGAGTATGGATAGCTGGGCCCTTGGGGTTTTGAAAAGCTTCCCAGGGGACGAGAGCCCCTCATAGGGACATTTCTCTCCCTCATTGAGCCTGTCCCCTCCCAGGCTGCAATTAGCAGCTGGCTCAGCACCTCCTTCTCAGTGATAATTGAGTCAGGCTGCCTTGTAACTTGGGGACGTAATAAGGCAATAGGAACGTCATTGTCTACTAAGACACACCACTCGGCAAAGTGCACATTAGAAGAGAGCCCTTTTTATCGCTGATAATTTTTGCATTTGATGTAGGAGGAGCAGTTTCAGGTTTTGCTGACCAATGCATTCCTTTATAGGCCTTGGGACCACTCCTAGGCTGGCGGCATCCTGGGAACTGGGGAAGGGGGGGGGGGGGGTGGAGAGAAGGGGCTGTTCACAAGGATGCAGCCAGGGGCAGAGGCTTGCTGCCAACTGCGGAAGGAAGGCCGGCACAGTTTATACCTGTTAAAGCGCAGCTGAGGCTGAGAAGTGCAGGAAAAGCTGCGTCTCCAGGGAACTGGCCACTCTCCTCCAGTTCAAATAACACACGAGAAGACACTCCTTCCGCTGGTGGAGGTGCGCTCCAGGGACTTTGGGTGTTACCAACTCCTTCCGCTGGTGGAGGTGCGCTCCAGGGACTTTGGGTGTTACCAGCTTTGAGGCTGCACCATACTTCTGGCAATAGGAAGGCCTCTGCTCCTTGAAGGCCACTGGGCCTTGGGATAATAACAGCCAATGCCCACTGCTTAGTGCTCAGTGCTCAGTGAGGAGCCAGGCCAGGTCTGTGCAAAGCCCTTTACAAGACAATCTGCCCAGCGAACAAGAGGTAGCCAACTGGCTTCCCCAACGTGGTTCTTTGATCTGCCCTGTATATATTAAAATGTGAATCAATTGCCAACATTTAAAAGTCAGAAAAAGTCCCAAGATCCAGCAACACTGGGTTCTGTCCACAAGGAAACAAGCGCCATCTTGAGCCTACGCCCTCCAGTCTGCCACAGTCCCCACCTGGTCCACTGCTTTCTGCCACCTGCCTGGCCCACAGACAACTTGCAGTGTCTGCAGTATGATCCTGGTAGCGATGGGTGGGAAACCAGGACTTCAAGAACTTGGAGGGTCCAGAGCCTAGGGAATCCAGGATCAGAAACAAGATCCTCCCTGGACTCCCTTGTTTTAGATCCATGAATCTTGGTGGAACAGGCTCTAAGGCAGCGGTTCTCAACCTGTGGGTCGCGACCTCTTTGGGGGTCGAATGACCCTTTCACAGGGATCGCCTAAGACCATCAGAAAACACATATATAATTACATATTGTTTTTGTGATTAGTCACTATGCTTTAATTATGTTCAATTTGTAACAAATTGGGGGTCACCACAACATGAGGAACTGTATTAAAGGGTCGCAGCATTAGGAAGGTTGAGAACCACTGCTCTAAGGTAAACGAAGTTTGACGCAGTCACTTAAACTATAAACCTGGGGGAGAAATAGTTGTCTGGACAATGGCTGGGACAGTGACCGGAATTTGGGTTTTATCAGCCTCTTCCTAAAGCCAATTCTGGGACCCCAAGCCCATTAGTTATTTACCTTACCAACCAACTCTGTTGGAATTTATCATCAGTTCTCTTTTAGGGAACAAGGAGTAGGTGATACAAGGTCCTGAATACCTGAGAGGCTTGCCCTCCACTCAATACAGCCTCACATCCTTGTAGAGCCGTGGTTCTCAACCTTGGCTGCACATTAGAATCATCTGGGAATCTTTTTAAAATCCTGATTTCTGGGCCTCATCCTCTGGAAATTCTGTTTCTTTGTTACTAATGTTGTGGCCCCATCCCATAACAAAGAAACAGAATTTCCGGGGGACGAGGCCCAGAAATCAGGATTTTAAAAAGATTCCCAGGTGATTCTAATGTGCAGCCAAGGTTGAGAACCACTGTCCTAGCGGGAAGTGGCTCACATTTGCCCAGCCGTGGCCAGGCTGACCTGGTTTGGCATCGGGACTACGCCTGCCTGAGGTTGTAAGGAAGCACCTTCGAGAAGCACTTGAATTAGAGTGGTTAGGATGGGGCTCTGGGGCCTTATTTCTTCTCTTATACACATGTGTATTATCAGAATTTAAAAAAACAGATTTGAGTTACTTCTTAGTCAACAAAAGCTAGGGTTATTTCCATGTAAGGACAGATGGGAGACTTACAGAGCCAGGACTGCCTAGCTGGAGGGGAGCGTGGGCTGGTGATCTGCAGCAGCATTTACAGGGAGCCTGGTCATACACACGGAGCTCTCTACAAAGAAATCCCTATCAATGGTCCTAGACTGGAATTACCACCGATGTTTGCTCAAACTCCAGATCACAACACAGTGCCAGTCTGTTGTGTCTAAATCACAACAGCCAGAAATGTCCCCGTGTGGTTCAGACAGCTGTGCTAAGCCGAGGGCCCAGAGACATGATGGCAGCAGTCCCTGTCGCCTCTAGACATTGTTCAGCTCTCCAGAAGGAATGTTAGCCGTCGGGTACATGAAGTATACACAGGTCTAATATTTCCTTTGAAGATCAGCTGAACAACCTGTGTGCTTTCGGACAATGGGGAGCCTGAGTGTGAGAGCGCATGCACTGTCTTGTTAGGGAGCTGAATAAAAACAAGAAACCGGCTCTTGTGGAGCCCAGGGACTCCGCTCATTCCAATGTCAATAAAACAAGCCGTTTGCCCACCTTGGTCTCTGTCAAGTTTTTTTCTTTTCTTGAAATGATCAGAAATGAAAAGGGCATGGAACCTTAGAGACAACGAGCTTCGTTTTTCCAAGTTCATATCTCTAGTAGGCAGATAGTATAACCTGTGTTCCAGGCGGGGCCAGGTGAGGGTCCACTGGTTGGAATGGAGAAGAAGCAGAGAGAGACGGACACAGGCCCCTGGGCAGGCACCGGTTCCAGATTTGGTCATGGTCTCATGTTGCTGAATGGTACATGGAGGAAAATATTTCTTCTAATTTCAATACCTATGTGTTTAACATGTATTGAGAAAAACACTTCGATGAGTATCTTCCTTTACAAATAAACGTCACTGAGAAAAGGGAGTCAATTTAAAGTATTAGTTGACAGCAGGTGCCAAGAGTTTTCCTGTTAATTCGCTGGGGCATCCCAGCAGGTGGGACTGATAACTTCCCTTAACAGAGAAGAAACTTCCTCCAGGTCACACGGCGGCGGAAAGCTGTGGGCCAGGAGCCGACTCCAGGGATGTCTGTCCGGGCCCCAGCTTCAGTTCTGTCCCTACACGGCGGGCGCTGACTGTCACCCGGAGACCCACGCGGGGAGGCAGGGAGCCCCGCCAGGGCGGACTTCCGAGCGGAGTCCGCAGTGCGCGCCACGGCCACTAGGTGACACCCCGAGCCCAGGAAAGCCGCGCCCCGTCGAGGCCGCGGGGTCTCCGGGCCGGCCTCGCAGGGCCCCTGGGCGGGGCTGCGGCATCGTGGGAGCAGCCCCAAGGGTGGCGGCGCTTTTTGTTCTTTAGAAAAGGTCTCCGGGATTCCGTTCCCTGCCTCCCTGCCTCCCTGCCTCCCTGCGCACCTGTAGCTGAGCGGGGGAGGTGCAGAGAAGCCTGGGTCGTTCACCAGAGGGTTCCCTTTTCAACACCATTTAAAAGTAGATATAGCATCAGCCTGAGGATTTGTTAAGATAAAGAAGGAAAGTCCTGCGGGTGTCTTTGAACCTCTCAGATACTTCAAGAAACACCAGGAATCTGAGTGTTTGGTGCGGTGGTGCAGGGGTCTGGCTTCCACCATTCCCAGCCCACACCCTCCCACCCTCCTCCTCTGCCTCGTTAGCGCCGCGCAGGCTGCCGGGCGCAGGGCCGGGCTGTGACCGTCACAACCTCCCACCCGGTCATGGGCTCTGCGCAGCGCGCCTCTCTAGTCAACAAGGCAGTTTCCCTAAATCCGGCAGCTGGCTTTGGCCCCGGTGTCTGCCTCCGAAGGCATTCCACCACGCCGCCTACAAATGAGCACATGAGCAGCCCGCGGGATGAGTATGGGGACAGAAAAGCACAGGAATGGGCAGCTTCACCTAAGGAGGCCAGGGGAGGCTCTCCCGAGGAGGTGGTGTGGGGCTTTGAAGGGTGGATAGAAGCTCTCTCGGGCAGTCAGCTGAGCGTCCACAAGGACAGGAGGCCACACTGTTCTGGCACTACCCATCGCTCGGGAATGCGGGGGTGAAGAATGGATTGGTAGCGGCTGCAGCTAGAGGGGGAAAGGGCCAGATCGTGAAAGGCCTTGGACTGGGTGCCAAGGAGTCTCAGACTGGACCATAAAAGAGATTTTTGGTTTGTTTGGGGCAGAGGAGTAGAGTTTGCCATTTACAAAGATCAGTGATTTGAGAATTCTTCCTTTTAGCAAGATAGCCTTTTGAAAGTGAAGTATGTGGTACACAGAATTAAAAATCAGATCAATGCAGAGCTGCTGAAAGCTGCCCTCTGGCCAGGAAGGGAATGTGTGGCTTCCCTGAAGAAGGCAGCCGCAGTCACCCCAGAGCCCACCGTGGGGGGAAACTTTAGGATCCCTTTTTTTAAAAGAAGGTTGTTAATCTTTTAAAAAATATATATATTTTATTGATTTCAGAGAGGAAGGGAGAGGGAGAGAGAGATAGAAACATCAATGATGAGAGAGAATCATTGATCAGCTGCCTCCTGCACGCCCACTACTGGGGATTGATCCCACAGCCCTGGCATATGCCCCTGACCGGAATCGAACCGGGGACCCTGTAGTCCGCAGGCCAAGCCAAACCAGCCAGGGCTAGGATCTCATTTTTTTTTTTAAATACATTTTAATTGATGTCAGAGAGGAAGGAAGAGGGAGAGAGAGAGAAACATCAATGATGAGAGAGAATCATTGATTGGCTGCCTCCTGAACGGGGCTACTGGGGATCAAGTCTGCAACCCAGGCATGTGCCCTGACTGGGAATTGAACCATGACCTCCTGGTTCATAGGTCAGTGTTCAACCATTGAGCCACACCAGCTGAGCTAGGAGCTCATCTTATTCCCAAAGCAACTTAAGCCAGAGAAAGTGCTGTGATGCCCCAGGTCTCCAGCTTCCCAGTCCACCTCATCGCCCACCTGAAGGTCCTGCTTAGACGTGGCTGTGGAGCACCTTCAATTTCTCCCCGTCTTTAGAGATCTGGGAGGAGCCCAATGACAGGGGGTGCGGGTGAGAGCTCCCCAATTCTCCAGCCCCTCTCCAGAAAGGCCACCTTTCCCTCCTGGGCTGGGGAAAGCAACCGGATCAGTGCTTCTCAACCCTGATTGCTTTTTTTAAAAGACCTTGATCATCTCCCTCAATTATTTTATGAGTGAAGAAAGTACAATCCAGCTCGGCCGGTGTGGCTCAGTGGTTGAACATTGACCTATGAACCAAGAGGTCACCCGTTGAATTCCCAGTCAGGGCACATGCCCGCCTGGGTTGTGGGCTCGATCCCCAGTAGGGGGCGTGCAGGAGGCAGCCCATGGATGTTTCTCTTTCATTGATGTTTCCCTTACCCTCTATCTCTAAAATAAATAAAAACATTTTTTTAAAAAAGTGAAATCCATTAAATGAAGCTGCCTCCGGCTCACAGCTGGGGGTGGAACTGGGCCTTGCTGCAGGTGGAACCATTCATTGTGGATCAGCCTGACCGCCACCTGTGCCGCGTGGGGACGGGGTGGGTGGAGCAGCCCCAGCGCGGGAGGCGCGCAGGCGACAGAGGCAGCCGCGGGCGGAGACGAGGCGGTGCCGGCCCGGAGCGCTGGCGGGGGACCCTCTTAACTTTAACCAGAGGGGAAAGTGCCTGCTTTTACCAGAATTTAAAATGCCGCTGTTTGCTCTCGTCATCAGTAAGACAGTGCAGTCCTCAGGTCTCCAAGTTTGTGCCAAGGACCCACCTTTGAGCCGGGCTAGGCTTACGCCGGCCCTGAGCGGCGGTTCTCCCGGGCCCGGGCCGCTCCTGCGCTCGGAGGGGAGCCTGCGCCCGGCTGCCGCTCTCGGGGCGCTGGCATCCCTCCGCCCCTGCGGACAAGCGGAGCAGCGGCCTCGGCCTCGGAGCGGACGGCTCCGGTGAGAAAGTGCTGCGATGTGACATTTGAGGAGGGCGGCTCCCGGGGTTGACTTACACCCACCTGTCTTCACTCCTCGGCGGCAGGGACGGCGTCTGCAGCAGCCGGCACATGCCTCGCTCCAGCCGCACCTAACGGTGCTGAATGATTGACGTCAGGATCTGCCTTCACCCCGCTCAGAGTCCAGCCATGGGACCCAGCGAGATTGAGACCACGTGCTGGGCTGCTAGGTTAGAGCCTTACGGGCAGCGGCGTGCCTGGTGCACAGGTGCTGCCCCGCCCCTCCCCCCACCCCCACCCCCGTGTCTGGCTCAGGCCCAGGGACCTCAGCAGGGAAGGAGCCAATTCTCCCTCCAGGCGAGAGCTGTCTGTGGGGACCAGTGGCGTCTCCGGGAGGTGTGTGTGGGAGCCAGCGACTGAAGGGCAAGGGCTGCTCACACCTGTTGCTCTGCCTCTAATGCCAGGTCAAAGGCTTTGTAGTCTCCCATTCCCCATCTAACTGGGAGTTGTGTGTGTGTGTGTGTGTGTGTGTGAGGAGCGGGGTTCGGGAGGCGGGGGAGTGGAGTCAAGAACAATGCTTTTTGTTATTTGGTTGGTTTTCGGTTTTGGATTAGGGGTATCTTGCTCAGGAGTAAACAATTAGTAAGTTATGGGCAGTAATTGAGTACAGAGAGTCTTTATTTGATTGGTTTCTCACTTTCAAAAGATGCTGTTCAGTGATTTATTCTTTTACTTATAACACATTGGGATAATTAAAAGTTCTCAACACTGAGAAAAAATATAATGCTTGAAATATCTGAACATGTCAGAAACTAGCAGCTCTTCTGTTTGTCTCAGGAAAACAGGATGGTGTCTGGGGAGAACTGCATTTGTTAAAATATTGGCAAAAGTATGAGGAGAGCCCTGGCCGAGTGGCTCAGCTGGTTGCGGCATCGTCCTATACACCAAAAGGTTGTGGGATTCCTCATCAGGGCACATACCTAGGTTTCGGGTTCAATGGCCGATGGGTTGAGTATGGGAAACAGCGGATCGATGTTTTTCTCTCACATCTATGTCTGTCTGTCTCTCCCCCGCCCCCCTTCCTCTCTCTCTAAAATATCATTAAAAACATAACCTTGGGTGAGGATTTTTTAAAAAGTATTAGAACAGTGGTTCTCAACCTTCCTAATGCGACCCTTTAATACAGTTCCTCATGTTGTGGTGACCCCCAACCATAAAATTATTTTCATTGCTACTTCATAACTGTAATTTTGCTACTGTAAACAATATGTAATTATATGTGTTTTCCGATGGTCTTAGGCGACCCCTGTGAAAGGGTAGTTCGACCCCCAAAGGGGTCGCGACCCACAGGTTGAGAACCGCTGTATTAGAAGAATACTATGGTAGTATCAATAATATAACCATCTAGGGATTTAAGAAGTTCATACCTGTGATAAAAATGGCACCAAGTATTTGAGAACCTTGTTAGAGAATTACTGAGGAAGGATTTGTAGCTTATGTGATTTCCTGTGTCTCAGGGCTAGCATTTGTCCAAAAGTTTCTCTTTTTACGTGTCAAGGAGAATGCACATATATATTTCTTCAGATCATAATTTCCTAAATACCTTGGAGTATTGCCAGCTTTTATTACCAATATT